GGCAGATATTGTCAAGGCATATAGGGTTGGGTAGTGGATACTTACTGTAATTAGTGATTGCTAAGGCTGGTATTTCTGTGCCATAATTTCCCTAGGAAGGGAATTAATGTATGTGTAGTGATGGCTAAAATATAATTCTGCTGAGTGCAACCTCATCTGTAGCTTGATGTTGCTTTTAGTGGAAGCATTTGTGAGAACCTACAAAGAGTAAGTGATAACAGATTAAATTAACTTAAATTATTACATTTCTAATGTACACATGAACAGAACAGGAAGAAACTTCGATTGTGGTTCCAATTTCATCCCATCTTCTTAATTGTATGTGCAGTAACACCACACCTTGACATTTGCAAAGTGGCATCAGATCACCATGAGTTTGAAATGTGATTCCTAGCCCATGATTATGTAAAATTAAACTGCTGCATAAGTGTATTGGGAATTTGACAGGACAACTCCTGCATCAAGAGACAAATAATTAACAACTTTATGAGTTATTTCCAATTTATAAGAAAAAATTAGGAGTAAGAATTAGTATCTTAAGCATTGTTTGGTCATACTTTTTTGAGTGTTGAGCCTATTTCTAGGTACTATTTTGAGCATTTCTGTCAGCTGCGTAGTAGCAGACTTAACAAAAAGGTGTACTATAAATCACTCTGGGTGTTAGAGCTGACAGCTGTAAGTAAATACAGCTGACAGCTCAAATAGCTGTTCCATTGACAGTATGTGGTCTAAATGTGTTAACAAATGTGTGGACTCAGCAGTTTGAGATTAGTTTAGCAAATAAATTACAGAATACTGCTGTGATCCAGCAAAAAAAACCACAATGCCTGTGTATCCCTAGCCTGCATGCTTTGTTAATACTGTAACAGGCCTTTGTAGCTCTGTGTGAAAATACAACACTGGGGCTACATGCAGGGGCCTGCTAAGGGTGCCATTCATCTCGCCCAGATTTCTTCTTAGTGTGATGTCAAGGAATGTGAGCAACTGAGTGCCATGGTGAGTAGAGAGGGTTTAATCATGGATGTATTTGCTTTGCAGGATCAGAGATTTCATAAAGGGGGTAACTTTACACTAGCTTGGGTTATGATGAATGATACAGAGTCACTGTGTAACAGTATAAAGCTGCTCTCATGCAAAACTTGAGCTATTCAAATATTTTGATTTGTTTAATACGTT